TAAAGAATACAACCACAATAAGTAACCAAATTTACTGACTTAGTATATTGCTTTAAAAACTATTAAAATTGATATTTAACTAAACTGATAAAAATTTAGTAAGGAAATTACCCAACAATCGAAATAATCATGACCTGCCCGAAATGATACTAGATGTCATTTTTGGAGTGTAACAGTATATACACTTGCAGTCTTAAATTGTAACTCTTTTCTCAATAGCTGTAGAAAACAAAATTTGCAAGTAGAAATTTTGTAACGCTGAAATGTAGATTCGTTATGTACTCTAGAAAACGTTGAAATTGATCGGTAAGATACAAATCAAATTCGCGCGTACGCTTGCTCAAACTGACATTAGCAGTATATCAGTCTGTTGGAACATTCAGTCCTATTTTTCGTTTTTTCGTTCCTTATTTCGTTTAACGTTCATACATCCATAACGTGTTCCTCCTTGGAACAGGAGCATTAACAGCTTAGTATACAGGATTAATTGATCCCGCATTTTGCAACAAGGAACTAAAATTTTTGCCTCATACATAAAAACACCTATCTGCACAGGGAAACTAGTGGCACTCATGCCTTTTCAAAATTGAACCAGAAATTGTGATTCCTACTTGCCAAATGTAATGCCGTTTCAAAATTGGACCAGAAATTGTAGTTCCTAATTGCAAAATGTAGTCAAATCAGCAGTTATTGCATAATCGCAATTTTTTCTTCACCACGTGGCAACGCTGGTTTCGTCGCGAACTTTGCTGTCACCTGCAGACGTAATAACCCCAGCATTTGACTTGAGCCCCCGAAGCCGGGGCCATTTTCTATTCCTTTAGTCGTTCAATTCTTTTATGTTCTTCGCGATTACGGAGCCTCATAAATGCGGGAGCAGCGACTTTTAATTTAAATCGTAGGCACTCGGGAGTTATTAATAGAATCTTCCCTTATCAAATGAAATTACGTTCCCCCCATTCAAAAGGAGAATGCTCAATTGAATTTCAACCCCACAGGCTTCCGAGAAATGGAGGGAAAATGACTTGATGAATCGGGAGACAGTGCTCAGCCATGCACTCGAGACTTTTATACACACTTGGGATTTGTCAAAAATCGTCACGTTGAAGAATTGGAAGAGGAAAAGTGAAGGGCTCGAGAGGGGTCGTTTTATTGGTTTGCAAAGTGTGTGGTTTTTTAAAATTTGTTTTTTAAAAACAGCAATCCAGTAATGTAAGGAATATACGGTGCAATTTTTGTCTAACACTTTCGCCTTTTTCAAGAGAGCAGGGGAAAAATCGGTGAGATTATCAGTTGCAAATGCACAAGATTTTCATGGCAACAATGCGATTCCCAGGTGGAAAGGCGACACGCAAACGTATGTACGTTATTTTATATGGAAAAAGACGATGTCATTGATAAATTTATGAAACCACTTAACGAAACCACAATTTATGCGTTGCAATTTTGTTTTTTCGTTCATACATTTTGCAAATAATGGCTGCAATGATACTTGCAAAGAGGTAACGAAACCACAATTTTTGCGTTGCAATTTTGTTTTTTCGTTCATACATTTTGCAAATAATGGCTGCAATGATACTTGCAAAGAGTTTTAAAATTATATTGTTCTGCCTTTATTAATGCAATTAAAACATCCATAAAGTACTTTGGGTTTTAAGAGAATAAAATTAAAGTTTAGAACAACGCATTCAAGGTGCGAGTTTCCGTAGTTTAACTGCGAATCTTGAATCACTTGTTTTAAGTATTTAATCGTTTCGCCTTTGGGTGGGAGAGTCGAGAAGAATGCATAATTGGACTGCATTTTTCAATAAAAAACTACTATTTCTCACTCATGTGTAAAAACACCCATGTGCATAGAAAAACTAATTACAAGCGTGTTATTTCTAAAATGAACCAGAAATTGTAGTTCCTACTTGCAAAATGTAGTTTAATTCAAGATTTTTACCCGTCACACTCGAACAAAACTTCGAACGTCACTTCATTTGAAATTCACGCATCCAAAGCCCTTCAATACTGTCGGAAACTTGAAGAATGCCACCAATCCTCAAATATAATTTTTAAACCCCGCACTGAGCTCCCAGATCGGGATTCAAAACGAGTTTATCTATGACGACAAGCCATTGATGTTGGAACTTCAAGTAACGTCTCTAACTATGTCGTAACCCTCGTGTTTAAAAATCCAAAAACCTAAAACGGGCCACAGAAATGCTCTCCCGACATTGTCTCGCTGCAACAGCTGGATCAGTCGATGCTAAAAAGTAATAATTCCATTTTCAGCTGAGCTTTGCGCTCCAGAAGCATCCCTATATTCTAGGATGCACAAAGCAATGAGTAAAATTCGTTTAGACATCGACCGTTTGTACTGGACTGACCATGACTTTTTCATCGACCCTGCATTGGAGCTTGCGGTCACGGCGCACAGTGGGTAGAGTCAATCAGCGAGATCGGATACGAATTTCGTGACTAAAACTGCAAATTTTAATGTTTAATTCGTCACATTTTAAATTGTAAGGGGTGCTTCCAAGAAAATATTTTACGAGGAGACCAATAGACTTGCAGAACCTCGAAGGTTTGTATAAACGAAGTTTTTAAAGTTTCCGAATTTGGTCCAACCTCTCCCATCGACTCTATCCACTGTGCAGCGGTGGACTTCGAACAATTTTTGATGTGAAAGGGTAGCCTCTGATCGCCGAGTTGAACTCATTCGAGTGCAATCACGCTTAAAATGGGTCAAACAAATCGGTGATTAATTTTTTCAAAACTTCCGGAGCGAATTTGAGGCTCGTAACTGCGGGCGAATAGTTGTGCGACGAACCACGCAGAAACCGCGCGCGTAATGTCAGAACGAACCACGTGAAAATGAATAAAATCAAAAAGAGATACGTTTATAGTGTTCGCATGCAACATGGGTCCTTTTGATCTTATTCATTTTGACATAGATCTATTTAGCATTAGTACGTCCACAAAGAGGCATATTTTCCCACTATACCTTCATTCCAGAAATAGCAAGATCACACGCATTCGATGGTCAATGGGTAAAAATAACGCGTGAGCTGGCAATATTTTAGTATAACATATATATACAACACTTTCAATAATATTGACATCCTTTCAATGTCAGGGCCGGATTTACCTACTTGCCGCTCATGGGCCGCCTGTATTTTGCCGCCCCCCTTTTCATTCGTTTTGAAACATCAATAAAAACCGTGTCGGAGGGGGAGGGGTACATGAGACGCATTTATTCGTGTTGCAAAAGCCCTGTCAACACTACTAACAAAATTTATCGGAACTTTGCACGAAATCAAAGTTCCTTAAACCTATCTCTGTGTGGACAAGGGCTTCCATTTATGAGAAATTAACAAAAAAATTATGAAAGAACAACCATAAACGTAGTTTAATAATTTTAAATTTCGCCGTCGCGCGAAGCTGACCGCACTGCGTTTGGCGCAATGCGTGAAGTATTCATCCAGTCTTGTAGGCGCTATGCGTTTCACGCACTGCGTTTGACACAATGCGTGAAGTATTCATGCAGCCTTGTGGGCGCCAATATGTGTTACATGCCGATCGCCGCGCCGAAAGCTTCTCCTTTTCATCTCAAGTCCTTGTCATCATTGCTCTCCAGGCTAAATTGCGTATTTGGTTTCTCTCTTAACTCGACTAATAAAAGGTGCTGTCTCTTGCATCGCCGGACGACAAAATTAGAAATTACTATACTCTCAGGAAATGAGAGATTTTATCGCCTTTTCTCGTTTATACTTTTTCTTCTGGATCCAATTTTTTTCATACCTACATTTAAAAAAATTGCAAAATTTGTCGTCCCCTAAATTTGCCGCCATGGGTCGTGGCCCATGTAGCCACCCCCTAAATCCGGCCCTGCATATAATTGCAAAAATGCGTTCCCTTAATTCAGTATAGTTCTAATTTACAGAAACAAGCACCAATGGATGTGCGATGTCAACATATTTGTCTTTAATTTTTTGACTACGGTATTTTTATAAAAACTTTGAAAACACGATGGGCCTTAACTACTCCCTATTTTCATCCCCCCTCTCGCCGCCGAAGATGGCATTACCCTGTTGCGGTGCTGCGATTGGTGCATCTTGATTCCATTCGGCTCATTCCGGCCATTTTCGCGTGTTCTCGACTATGTTCACGGTCAATCCGGCCATATTGACGACTGATCTGCCGTGCTAAAGGAAAACTCCGTCTGATCATTGAAGCATTGTCAAATTTCCTTTGGCTAATCACAAATTTTCGGAAATATTAATGAATATTTCTTTCCTGGTGTTTCGGAAAATTTCGTTCGAAATTTGATCTTAAAAGTTTGGAAATTTCACGGAAAAATGTTCATATCTTTCCTCAAGAATCTACATTTTCTAATAGGAAATTTGGCAAAATTTGAATCTCATATGGGGTTTTTACTTTACGACAGTGATGGCCTTCTTAACCCATTGATAACGTCATGGCTCACCCCTTTATGATATCATTAAGCATCCTTTGAAGATGCTATCGAGATGGTTGGGGGGGGGGGAGGGGTACATGCATTTTCCGCATAAAATCTGGGATTTTAGCATTTCCACAGAAAAATCGTGACTGACGTAACCACACAAAATATTTCCCTTCTACATTCATCTGGTAAATTTTTTCTTGCCATCAAAAGATGAAAAACTTACGCTCCTGTGTGTCAACCTTTTACAAGAAATGTTGCGATCCCCGATGAACAATATAATAGGTTAGTAAACGGTTTCCCTCTAATTCATCTATACTTTTTGCAAGGAGAAACATGATAAAAATATTTGCGCAGTGTTGCCAAATCGTGCCAAAAATAAAATTTTGCTCAGTGATTTTGTGCGGAAATGTCAATCCAGGTTTTTGTGTGGAAATGTTAAGATCGGATTTTGTGCGGGGACGTCAACCTACCATCAAGGCGCATAATTTCGACTGCTTCCATACTTTCTCCGTCATTTTTAATTATATTTAGTGTTTGAAATCGCACTTACCGCTTCAGTGTGAACGGGATGCGTGGCGAAGAGTAATCCAGCGAAAGTGGCGAAAATCGTCTGGAGCCCGGCGATGGCGTAACAGACGCGCGTGAAGAGCAAACTCGCGGCCCCGTGGAGTAACACATTGCACACGTGGTACCAGAACGGCTGCAGGCCCACCACGCTGTGCGTCGCTCTGAAACACAATCATCCGGCAGATCAGTAATCCGGCACATGTTGCACAAAATACATCTTCAAAAGTAAATTTTAAAATATTAAACATTTTGGAGTAAAAGTCATAACGATATGCAATGCAAGGCTAAGACATTTTCGAATAAAAAAGGTAAACATGCATCATGACGTCGTGACGTCATGTCCAGGCAGTTATACTGGTATGGACATATGCAAAGAATATCGGAGGAGAAGAAGTTGCCCAAACAAGTTTTGGATTGGACGCCCCCCCCCCTCCCCCAAGGGTTAACGTCAGGGCGGTGACGAAGAGATGTTGCGGTGTTAGTTGCCCGATAACCTCTGAGAGGACAAGCATATTTGGCGTTTGGGGGTTGCAGAACGCCAGAGTGCGTTGTAGGTGCGATTTTATACAAATAAACACGCATTTTTTTTTCTCAGAAATCGAAGGAAAAATATTTATTTGAACTTGTGAAATTCGCGGGTTTTATAAAACTGGACTTATAATGCTACTTAATCCGTTGCTTACCAGTGCTGTTGCTAATCAGCTTCAGTTGAGAATAGTCCATCATGCTATAATAGCTACATTTTTTTTTTGCAATTCTCTGAGATTTGGACTGATTCTGATGTAAATGACACTTTTCGACAGGAACACTGTATCAAACGTGAAATTCTTATGAGGAAACCCATCTCGATGGTTTCATTGTCTCTGTTTGCTTCACACAAGACATACTTCCCTTACACGACTTGATATCCTTTATTTTCTTCCAGATTTATAAGAATAAAACTTGTAATGTACTCGCTCCTACCGGCTATTCCAAAACACCTGGAGAGCTGTCACAATCGCAAACGGCGACTGTCAGTCTCATCACATACATAATTGAAGAGTGCTCCGTACAAATCTTACAACCGATACCAAGAGTGAATCGTTTATTCATTCGGACGAGGATTTATTGCAACTCCCGGGCGGACGAACTCCCGTGATTCTTTTATGAGAGAACTCAGTTCGAGTGTAACCTTTAACTCAGATTTGACGCTTAAATTGTTGACCTCTCATGTTCACCGTGTAGAAAACTTGACTTGGAAGTAATGGAAGTTCGAAATCGAATTTGTACAAAAATAACTACAAACCTAACAGGGATACTTCACGCATTGCGCAACGCGTGAAGTATCCCGTTAGGTTTGTAGGCGCCAGTGCGCATGTCGCTTTGTGTTGGGCTCTAATGCTTAAACTCGCGGAGTCAGCGTTTTTCAACTCATGATTTTGAAATGTTTCCACACTCTGCACGGATTATTCTCATTTAAATTGATGAAAAAAGAGAAAAAATATGTATTGAAGGAAATTATAACGTGTGTTTTGAAAATATTAAGGTAGTCCCGTGTCTAATTTAATGATTTCCAAAGCTTTTTAATTTGACTTTTATATTTTGTGATTTTACTGTGCTGCAGCGTGGTGTATTCGCAACCAAACTCTCAAAATTGGACGTGTTTGACTGTAAAAGATCGATGTTAAAGTGAGTTAAAACCAAGGATTGCGTCCTCCTTGGTTTTTTCTCTCTTTTTCATTTTTGTATAGTTCCTTTCAATTAAAGTACGGCTCACTGAGATTGATATCGATGCCATCGCTTGGAAAAGATTTTGCAAATATTTGCCACGCTTTGAAAATATAATGTTTTTAAAATAAAGTAATATTATCATTTAAAAAAGGTATATTTATGTACGGTATATTTTAAATCGACAATTTTATAGATAGAAATAAAACCAAATATTCACCAATGAAAATTTGAAAGATCAATCAAAAGAGGAAAGTAACGTTTCATTTAAAAAATGAGTTTCCATAACAAAACCTTCTTCTCTCTCGATTTTCTAATTAGATATTGTCAATATAATTTTATATACGGACTGAAATATAATCTTTGGACCAAGTCTCTGTTTCTTATTTTACGCGTGGACGTAAATTACTAGACTAAACAGGACGTTGACGGAATGTCCTGAAACCGTAGAAGCAACCTAGATCACTAAAGGCATGGATGGAAGTTAACGGTAATAATGATCGCGTTAAGGGCAACAGTGGTTGAAGACATTAACGATGGTCGTTAAAGGTAACATTGGTCGTTCAGGGCAAAAATGGTCGTCATGGGCCACAATTGTCCTTTAGGACAACAGTAGTCACTGACGGTAACAGTGACCGTTCAATGCAAAAAATAGTCGATAAGGGCAACAGTTGTGAAAATAGCCAACGAGAATGGTAGGTTTCTCCGGAGGCAAAATGGAGACCTATCACAAATATAGGGTGCGTCTCAGGGTGATTCTTATTTTGACCTGTAAAACTAACATTCAAAGTCATCTTATTTACCCGATGGATACCCTGTATACAGCCAACGGTGAAAACGTATACCTTTCTGGATTCAATATTATTTTAGGGGGTGGCAACAATTACGCGCACCCCTCTTGAGAGTCGTTGAGTTACTTGTTGAGTGATAACGCTGAAGTGCAACAGAAAACGGCCGGCCTATCCTTCAAACGAATCCTTTTAAGCTTTGCTTAAGGATCGACAGTATCGATTATATTTGTCTTTGCGCCTGGTGCGAGTTTTTAATTTCGTAATAGTAGCCATAATTTTTTCATAGAATCGCCGAGGCATTATTGAGCCTAAAGTCGCTCCGCGGACGACCCCCTAAACTACCGTGATAGCGAATAGAGCAGTAAGTACATGTTGGGATGAGCCTCGAGACACATGAAAGCATGTGCTAACCATGGCTCATACAGAGATGCGCTTATTGCTCTCTTCCAGTGGCGTGGCGTAAATCGCGATATATCGATTGTTATGCCATTTGAAGCTATGGTAAAGAATCGATAATAAGGTGTTCGCTGCGAACACCCTATTTATCGATACTTTTCCATAGGTTTGAATGGCCGCGATCAATCGATATATCGCAAAGCACGCCACGCCACTGCTCTCTTCGCTATCACAGCAGTAAAGTGCACTCCATCGAGTAAGTTGCACCTAACACTACAGACAGCACTCAACTGAAATTGGTCTAAATAGAGAACAATCTGCATCTCGTTATCATCCCTCATCCTCACACATACTCTATACCTATCATCCCCCCCTCCCATTACTAAGCACAGGTTTGCAAGATTGTATTGAAAATTAACTGTTTCCCTGTCTCGACCGAATTGGAAATGTACTACGGATCGGTGTCGTCAAAAGCCGGAGGACCGACTGTGGGATTGAAATTGGCTTCAACCTTGAATTTTATACGTCTAGTGTTCGTTTTTCTTTTTATTCGTTATCTAAATGACCTGAATGTAATAAAAATAATTAGTTTTATTATACCTAGTCATGAAATCGCTTAAGTGAGATATATTGCCGCAACCGAGGTTTGTAAAGAAGAGTGCCAACATTGGGCATTTTTCACGGTATTTTCGCGATTCGAACGTCAATTTTTGGTTGCAGAGCAAAACTCGAATAAGCGATTTTTTATGGTTTTTTCCGATTTAAATGCCGTTTTAGAACCACAACGCAAGGCTAAGATGTCCGCTATTCATGGTCTTTTTCGATTTGAATATTGTTTTTTGACCACGGAACAAAGTGTAAAATGACCGTTTTTCAAGGTTCTTTCATAATTTGAAAATCGTTTTTTGACTACTGTACAAGCTTATATTAAGCAGCAATTTAAAATTCTTTTCTACTAGAGTAAAATAGGTCAAATATTACAAAAATTCCTTTGTTTATCCTCTGCGCTTTGGTTAAAAAATGACATAAAACTCGAAAAACCCACGAAAAAAGGTCTTTTTTTGGTTTTCAGACCCATATTGATGCCAACAACATACCTATTTGATGGATTTTAATGATTGTCTGACACGATTTTTTTTTTGTAAAATGAGACCTACTCCAGTCAATAACGCCTAATTGCAAGTTACAGAAATCCAAGATAGGGTCATTCTTGATCCTTACGACAGCTTTAGCCAGGGTTGCACGCGTGAAATGAAAAATATGAAAGATTGGGAACTTCCGTGAAATATTTCATGACATTTCACGAGCCTGTGAATTATTTCATATTTTTCAGGGGCTAGACTATGCAACTCACACATAAACATACGAAAATATAAGAAAGTCACAATTTTTAAATACTGCGAAACATGATAGGGAACTAGTATTTTTCAATATCTTTCATAAATTCCTGAAATTTTATGAAATATTTCACGCGAAATTTCAAGATTTCATGATATTTTTCATGTAAAATTGCAACCATTTACAACGCCATTTACAACCATTCAGCCCGCATTTACAACGAAATCTGGCAATTTTGGGACACGACCTGGGGCAATGACAATTTACAAGGCGTAATGTGCACAATTACTCGAGTTGTGACGGCCTAATCGACTTAGCGCAACCCTCCGAACTACAATCGGATGGCGAGGGATCGAACTTCGATATTTTGCGTGCGTCCGATGGCGAGTATGTCGATCGGGGTATCGATGGACTGCGGGGTCGGATGGGTGTGGTTGTGGGGCCGAGAAGGGGCGTGGAGCGCATGACACTGAAAGTGAATTAAGCCCCTCTACAAGGATCGAATCAAGGAGCTGTTAATTGTAAAAATTTGCATTCAGTGCCGGTGCGGGCGATGATAGCGCGCTAGTCGGATAGGGCGCTTGCCAAGGTGACGTCAGCCGCAGTGACGTCAGCACAGCCGTAATAAGAAAGAGAGCCGTGACTTTCAAATTTTCAATTGAATCAGTGAGTCCGAACACACCAACTCGGGTTTTTTCGAGTTTCACTTTTTTACGGTTTAGTAACACTTATGGATAGAAGCATCTGCGCGCAAAGGCAATTTCGATATTGCAATCGGAAGTGCTCGAAACAGCGACGGGTAGAGTCCCTTTATACTGAGAGTCAAGACAATTTGAATCCATTTCTGATTGGTTCCCGTATTTTAGGCTTCCACGGGAATAAAGATTACATTTTCACCAATTGCAAAGATTATAATCTGGAATGGACCAGGGAATTACGGGTTCGGCAAGGAACAAACGGAATGAGAGGAGGAACGGAGAAAGGCATTTGAGAATGGGCCGATCAAAGATTACGAAAAACGTTCAATTTCTGTAATCTTTATTCCCGTTTGTAACATCCATGAGCCGAATTGTCTTGACTCTCAGTATAAAGGGACTCTAGCGACGGGAAAAAGGAAAAATCGAAGTATTTCATTAGAAATACCAATTTTTGGCCATTTCAAGGGAAACGGGTGACCATCCGATCTTGCGGTTTTCTTTTTTTTCGTTCAGTTTACCTTATACCAACAAGTTATATAAATATTCAAGCGTTATTCAGGTCGCAAAATATAAATTTTTCTGGGCAGACTATGAAAAATCAGTTCTGAAAGTCGGTGAGAACGAAAGCACACCAACTCGGAAATTTTCAAACGCTTAATTCTCTGTCATCAAACATGGTGTATCGATTTCAACTTGGTGCTTTACAAAGTCCCTCAGTACTTCTCCTTTGGCACCAAAAAGGTTTTTCTTAAACTAACTTCTTCGCCCGCTGCGCAGTTTTAGGTGTTTCCTGAACAATTTTTTTTTTCCGAGTTGGTGTGTTGTCGAACTCACCGATTCAATTACAGAATTCGTCAAATTTCGCGTAATTTTTTTCAAATGAGACCACTAATGCACCTGAAACAAAAAAATTCGTCTTTTGCATGTGTAAATGAGACATGATGTGAGAAAGCCGCGAGGGCGCGAAAATTGACGTTATTCAAGACAAAACAGGAGTCAGTAGCATTATTCTGTCAGAGAGCCAATGACAGCAATACTCTTAAAACAACTTACGACCTTCCCTGCCAATTTCTAAAAATTTACTTGCTGTGTACAAAACGCAACCATGGAACACCGTCTAAACGTAAAGTTTATTTTAGTTTAGACCTTGTCTAGAAGCCTT